GTGGGGTGGGGCGGGGCGGGGTGGGGTGGGGTGGCGCACATGACAGATGCCCGCCCTTTGCCGCATTCCACGGCCCCGCCACGCGGCGCTGCGTCGTCGGTGCGTTCGAATCTCATCTCGCCCTTTATGAAAAATAATGGCGGCCTCGCAGGGCGGCCCGAATGGCCCGAATGGCCCGAAATGGTGACCCGAAGGGCCGAAGGGCTGAAGGCCCAAGGCACCCGAAGCGGGGCCCGAACACGTGGTGTGTGTCGCCCTAGTTAGTATGTGCTTACCACCTCTTGGCCAAGCGAACCTTTGCGCCTTTGCTAACCCGCTGCTCTTTGTCATAAATTAAATGTTCCGAAAAAAAAATGCACAACAGAACACGCAAATTAAAACTTACAACAAAAACAAAAATACCGCGCGCCTCATCACGTATAGCGCCGCTGAAACATATTTCACGTATTTCTTTTTACGCCTCCCTTTCCCTCCGCGGTGCCACCAGTGCGCCCCCGCGACGAGCGCGCACGCACACACACACGCACACGCACACTCACACTCACTCACACACACACACACACACACATACACACACATACATACATACATACGGACAAATAACGCGAACGCGCGACAAACACACAGACTCGCATTCACGCGCATTCACACGCACACACCTGGACTAAATCGGATAAAAACACAACGCAAACATTAGAGCGCGCGTGTCCTTCTGCTTTACAAAAACGCAGGGCGTGGCCGAGGCGACACCGGACAGTGGCGAGGCAATGGCGAGCCGCCCGTTCGGCCGTGTGGAAGGAACGCGGCCGCCTCGCCTCCTTCGCCGAAAGGACCCCCCCAGTACTGGCAACTGACGAAAAACAAAACCATTCCTTGTGCGTGGCTGTGGCTCGACCCAAAACAAAAACTGACCCGAGATCGCCACACACACAAACGCACACGCGGGCGCGTGTCAAAAAAAATGGCCAATGTTTTCTTTGTTTGTTGCGTCTCTTGAATTTCCCTTTTTTTCCCCAGGCCGGTCGTGCTGTGCCTTAAATCCCTCTGAATTGCCGGTCATCGCTTTCCCTGACAGGGGCTACGCCACGGCTACGCGTCCCCAGCCCGGCGGACCGGGCGGTCAGTCTTGTTGTTGTTGTTGTTGTTGTTGTTGTTGTTGTTGTTGTTGTTGGCGTGAGTGGCGCGCACTGCGTACTTCTGCTTTCGGCACGCAGGACGACGCAGCGCCAACTGTCGGGGGAAATGTGACTTGCGCCGCTCGACGTATCGCGGCATCTCGTGCTGCAGCACCCGCTGGTTGGCCGCATGTGCGAGGGAGAGCGGGGCGAGAGAGAATGACGGTACGCGGGAGAGCGAAGTGAGAGGGAGGACGAGTTATTTCGAGCGAGGACGCGATTGTAAAGCGGGTCCAATTACCCTGCAGTCTGGACGATTGAGTGTGACAAAAGCCGAGCGTTCCGCCCCGCCCCGCCGTCGTCGAGGCCCATAGCGGGTTCATCATCGCGAGCTCATCACAGGGAGGGAAAACAAAACATGCCGGGATCGGCGGCACACTCCCCACCACAATACACTATCGTCCCGCGCATCACAAGCCAGAGCCAATGGGGCTCTCTTCTTTTTTTTGGTGGTGGATGGGGAGCGGGAGGCAGCCAATGAGAAAACGAGCCGCGCTGCCTTCCGGTGCGAGTGATCCGGAGCCGAGGGGTACCTCACTTCGTCTAGTCAGTGTACACCCCTGACTCCAGTCACTGCCTTGTTTCAGTCTAGTCACTGAAAAAGTCGGCAAAACCACGTAATTTTTAGTATTTTTGCAACGCATTTCGTGATATTTTCAGTCTAGTCAAAGTGGAAATTGAGTATAGTCACCAGTCAGTGTACACCTGTTTTCGAAGTGAGGTACCCCTCGTCCGGAGCGCGGCGCGGCGTGCGCGCAGCCGCCTGGAAGGACAGAAGATACTGACTAGCGACTTGGGCACTGGCGGAGACGTGGTGCCCGCCTCACTGGCCGCCACCTGCGGCAGGTGCTGGACGGGCTGCTCGGTGACTCCGTGCGATCGGCAGCCGGACCACCACGCGCGGGCCGAGGCCGAGGTGGCCCAGGTGGCCGAGGCTGCCGAGGCTGCCGAGGCCGAGGTCTGTAAGCAGCTCATTAGCATGGAAATTAGTGCCAGGGGCCGAGGCGGGCCGAGGCCCGGTAGGGTTGGGCGGGCTTGCGTGTGACAGGGACGCGGCCTCGGGCAGGGCTGGCCCGGGCTGGGCTGCCGCGGGGACAGCACACTGGCTACAGGTGGAAACAATCGAGACAGCGCCGCTACCGTGACGCGCACGGACACACGCACGCTCTCTCTCACACACACACACACACACACACTGATTGACAAGGGCTCCCGAGGCCTGCCCGTGAGCCTGCGTGCCTCACGCTTTTCCTCTTTTTAAGCTCCCAGGCAGGTCTCTCTCTTTCTCGCTCTCTCCCGTGTGTTTTAATACGGCCCCAGTCGTCGTCGTGTTAAATCAATTTCAGTTTTCAAAGTGCGTCGTCCTTTGTTTCGCTGGGATGAGTTTCGCCCGCGCGCGCTGCTTCTCACTCTCCTCCTCTTTTTTTTTCGACTTTTTCATTTTATTGTTCTTCTCTGTGAAAAACGAAAGTTGAGTTTGGTGGAACTGCGCTCTGATGGTCTGGTTACGGAATTAACCCCGCCGGTGCGAGTCGAGACTCGAGTCGAGACTCGAGTGGAGAGAGGTGAGGCGGAAACTTTGGCAAGGACGCCGAGGCGCGTCGGGCATGACCCGCGTCGTCGTCGTCGTCGTCGTCGTCGTCGTCGCCCAGGAGGAAAGCACGGCCGTCACGTAAACGCCTTTGTGCATCCTACACCGCTGCTCGTCGCCGCTTCGCTCTCGCTATTCAGGAGCTCGCCGCACGTACGTGTCTGGATGCGCGGCGCCGCCTCTGCCGCCGCTACGCCACTGCCGACATCAGCAGCGACGCACGCAGGCAGACAGCGGCGGCGGCGCGGCGGCCGAGTGACGAACCAGGAGAGTGATGGTGTTGCGATCTAGATAACCCGGCGAGAACAATGGCGGCGGCCCTGCTCTGCGAGGGGCGGAGAGAAAGGGCTGCCTCGACAATGCGCGTGCGATTTGCCGAGCGTCTCAGCAGAGCGACGCGCGCGACGTGGCGGGGAGGGGGAAGGGGGACGGCCACGCGAAAAAAAATAAGCGGGAAATAATGTTTGTCGCTGAACAGCGGCGCGACACCGACGCAATCGCCGTGCGGCTGTTTGTCGAGCCGCGGAGATGCGCACGCGTGTCTGGGCGTCGTCCGCGCCCCGAAGACGCGCGACCGGGGTGGGGGGAGGGCGGCGTCGAACGAGCTTTCCGATCTCACCTTGCATTATCTTCAGCCGAGCGGAGGAGGCGCGTCCCCGCGGTGTCGTCCGTGTTTTTGTCATTTCGCGATAACAGCGTGCTTAATTATTCAGGCCCGATCCGGAGCGCAGAGGGGGTGGGGGAGGGGTGGGCACGCAATGCGCCCCCCCCCCCACACACACACGCACACCAACACACACGCACGGCCGCGTCTTGCCCCGTTCTCACGCTGCTTCCTCCCTCCGGCCGCAGGCTACGCTGCGCCGCTGCAGCGAGGCGGCGGTGGAGGGAGAGGGAGCGCCCGTCGAGTCGAGGGTAGGCCACCCGGCGCGCACCGCTGTTCGACGGGCCTGCCGCGTCGCTGCTGCCGGGCGCTCCACTCCACGCGTCACGGCACGCCCCACGGCCCGACTAGCCTGGCGCCTCGTTGAATGGGGCGCGAAGGCCCGCCACGCCGAGGCCAGGGCCACGCCACGGGCGGAGCGAACTTGGGCAGGCGGTTCCGAAGCGCTTCCGCAGACACCCGGCGACCCACTGACGGCGTCCTGGCCCTGACGGCGCCCTGTACCGGCGGCGCCTTGGCCCCGGCCCGGCGCAGACTGCCTGACAGTGCAGCCTGGTATTGGAGCGACGTGTGGCCGGGCCGGGCCGCCACTCCGCCGCTCTGTGGCCTTATCTTCCTCTTAGTAGTTGCTGCCTTGGCGCGCTGCGAACTCGGCGCCCCACAACGACCCCGGCCGGCAGCCCGCAGCCCTGCGCAGCCCCGAAACCCCCGGGCCCGAGGCCCCGCGGCCCTGGCGGGCCCGGCCAGAAGAAGACCGCGTGTTATTACTTATTACGGCCCCTTAAAACAAAACGTACCGGTTAGGAGTGGCACGGGGTGGGGGAGGTGATCAAAACTTGAGATTGCCGCGCGACTCCTGTCCCTCTAGCGTCGTAGCGGCGTGGCGTGCCGCGCCCCCGGTCTTTGCGCTGCGCGCGTCGCGACGGCAACCCACGGCAACCCACGGCAACCCCGGTTTACGCACCGCGGCAGCCTCTCAATATTTGAAGCCGTGCTTCAAAACCGTTCGCGCGCCGCTGTCCTTGAGGTGGAGCCGTAAAACACGACGCCGGGTTGATGGCTTTCGGCCGAACAGCCTGGTAGTGTGGCACGGCGGCGAGGGGGAGGGGGCCGAGGGGACGGGGGCGAAATCTCGTGCAGGCTCGTGGACTTCTCTAGGTGTGGCGGGGCTAGGACAAGGCAAGGCGGGGTCGCAGGTGCTTGGCGCGAGGCAGCTTGTACACGTGAGGCGCCCCGACCCGCCCCGCCCGGTGTAGCGGAGCGTGGCCCGACGCGGCCCGGCGTGGCGGCGTGGCGTGGTGCAGGCAGTGTGTAGCGGCGCAGAGCGAGCATTAAACTTTGCGGCCCTCATCCTCGAGTCAGATTAGTGCCGAGGCCCTCCGCCCCCCCCCCTTCCGCCACCCCTTCCATCGCGGAATGCTCCGGTCGGCCGCGCCTCGCTGCACGCCGATGATTTAGACAGGGGGTGGGGCGCCATTCGGCGAGGCTCGGCGAGGCTCGGCGAGGCCCGACAAGGCCGTCGCCGTGGAGACGAGTCGGTGCTAACGCGCGCGCTCTCGGTGTGTTGCAGGAAGGAGGCGGGGACCGCGAACCGCGACGCTGGCGACGACAAAGGTGAGTCCCGGATCCCCTGCCGTCACCGCGGCACCGCCAGGACGGCAGTAAATTCTCCGGCGCTCCGGGTAGGCTTCGCGCGGTACCCTCTGCGCCGGCTGTCACCATGCCTTCACCGCACGGCGTTGCCACGGCGAGGAACGCGAACAAGAGCCAAGGGACGCGTTCAGGGGGTGACGACGTTCGTTGCCTACCCACAGGTTCGACTTGTTGCCTACCTTTACGCGGCTTCACAGCCTAGGGCGATGGCGGAGGGGGCACGAACGCGATCTGGGTCACGGCTGCTTAGCGAGGCCGGGCAGGAAGGCATGCCTTGAGCACGCCGAGGTGGCCGAGGCCGTGGTGAGCCGCCGCTGGCACGCCAATTGTGTGCGATATGAGAAACAGTCGGATCCGATCGGGGAGCCGGGATCAACGTGGCACGGCGTGGCGCGGCACAGTGGTGAGCAGAGCGGACAGCGACCACACCCCGCGCAGGAGTTTCCTCTACAAAGTTGCGCGGCTCAGTGCACGCTGGCCGAGGCCCGGCTGGCCCACTGGCTGGCCTGCTGGCCTGCTCGCTGTTGGCCTCCTCAGCCGCGCGGCTCCGCCGTCGGCCGGCCCGTGAACGGCCTGGTGGCAAGCCTGGGCGGCAAGCCGGGGCAAGACGACGCCGTGGAGGCCGTGGACCGGAAAGGCCTCGTAGCCGGGAAGAGGGGACTTTACCTCCATCACCATTTCTGTCGATTGCCCGAATGGGGGAAATGTTGCGAGCCCTGCGCTGCCTGTGCCACGGCACTGCCACGCCACTGCCACGCCACTGCCACGGGCCATGGCGCGCATCTGGGTCATTGGCCAGGCGAGTGAATCTCGAGGCGATGCAGGCGGATGGCGCGGAAGGAGGCACGGCGCGGCACGGCGAGCGGACCTGGACGGCGAGGAGTATCAAGTGCCGATCCGGAGCAGCCTCCTCCTCCTCCTCCTCATCCTCCTCCTCCTCCTCCTCCTCCTCCTCCTCCTCCTCCTCCTCCTCCTCCTCCTCCTCCTCCTCCTCCTCCTCGTCCTTCTCCTTGGCTACAACAGTAACGGGTGGAGTGGCCCCCGCAGTATCATTCACCCAGAGGCCTGCAGTCACCAAGACCATCAGAATGCTCCCCTCCATTCCGGCTGCTGGCTCGTTAGGCCCCACGCCCGCCCCCCCCCACCCCGCCCCGCCCCACCCCACCCCGCCCCGTCCTAACCCGCCGCGCCACGCTCACATGCCCCTAGCTCGCTCCTCTGGGGGGCAGTTTCCCCCCTTGCCTTCCCCTGATGCCGATGGCAGCAAAGTGCCCCTATACGAGTGGCCCGCGCCTTCTGACCACGCCCCCCCCCCCCCAAGCCACGAACCGCGGCAACCCTGAGGCAGCAAGCGACCCCCATTACAAAACTTGACTTACAACTTGGGACTTGGACTTAAACTCCGGGGCGGATCTTGAAGCGGCGGCCGGCTCGGACCGCCCGGGCCCACGCCGTCGTCGTCGCATGACCCGACCGACGCGGCCGTCTAGGGGTCCACTGGGACACGGCTGGGGCGGCCGGGGAGCCCCGGGCGTGTTATTTTAACCTGGTGGGTCGGGGGTCGCATGGTGAAGCCCCGAGGCTCAAGCCTCAAGGACCGACACAGAGACAACACGGGGCCGGCCGAGTCTTTCTGGCGCCGTCAGGCACCGTCAGGCGTCCACGCCTTTTCTAGTCGAGCAAGCGCGTTCTAGTCTGCCTGCGCCACCGCAGTGGCTTCGCCTCGCTTCGCTTCGCCTCGCTTCGCCTCCAAACTTGGCGTCCTCATTCCGGTGCTGTGGTGTCGCTAACGCACGTTAGCGCTGAGCCGGCCGCTGATAACATAATTCCATTCCGTATTTTTATGTCTCCAGTCGGCCATAAAAGTTGATTTAAGGCGCCGGCGTGGCAACGCTAGCAACGGCGGCGTGGCAAGCAACGCAGTACGCACCCCGCGCCTCAAGCCTCAGGCCGGGCAGGCCGGCCCCAGCGACAGCGATAGTTTTCGGCAGCGGAGCGGAAAGGAGCAGGAATGGAGGAAAACGAGAGGAAAAGAGCGGAAAAAAAGAGTACGAGTGGAATACGAATGTGGGCAGCGAGGTCACGGGCTCGCGCGCGGAATTCGCAAGGGGGCTGCCGGGAGGAAAAATTGACTCCGCGATAAGAGATTGATAGATGGATGATTCCTGGGATGCACGACGAGGGACGAGGCCCTGCCTCGTAAACAAGGCGGAGAATGCTTCGCGAAGCTTGGCGAAGCCAGTCCGGGCGGCAAGCCGGCCAATTGCTTGCCACTGTACACACTTTTAATTGTTTCCCGCCACTCTCTCTCTTTCTTTCTCTCTCCAGCTCTTTTTCCCGCTCCTCGGCGAGTCAATTTAAACGAAATCCGACGAGGGTCAGCGAACAGAGCAGCGGGCAGCGCAGCGGAGGAATGCGAACTGGAGGCCGTGGAGGCCGTCGAGGTGACGGACTCGTCGTCCGGGCGGGGGAGCCTCCACCGTCACGTCCACCTGGTCCGGGACCTGGTCCCACTCTGCGCTCGAATTATCACTCGGCAGCAAAGGAGGCGCCGGCAGGGTAAGGCGGCGCGGCCTGGCCCGCCTCCCTCTGTGCGCCTTGTTCAGAGTGACAACTACACTGTTGGGAGGGGAGGCACAGGGCCCAGGCATAGGCAGAGGCCTCTACCCCCCGAGGCAGAGACCGGGTCAAGGCGTGCCGTGCCGCCTGTGCCGGCGGGGCGGACGAGGCTGGCAGCATGGCTGGCAGCCACGCAGTCCTAATGAGCCTCGCAGCGACATCTGAGTCCTCGCGGCCTGGCGGCCTGGCGGGGGCTCAGCGGCACGGCCGAGCACGGCCTGCCCGCCGTCGGGGCGTTCTGGGGCGTTCTGGGGCGTTCTGGGAAGGTCCGACAGGTCAAGGTCCACCCGAAAAGAACAGCGGGCTACGAACGGAGGTCGCCGCCGGACACACTGCTCAAATTTGGTGGCTGGCTGCGTCGGCGGGTCGCCCACGGCGTCCTCTGGGGACTCTCTGGGGGGCCGCGCCACACAGCCACGCCG